AGAGCTCCGTAGGGAGCGATCTCCGTGTTTCTCCTCCCTGCAAAGCAGGAATAAAAAACTAAGATCTATTAGTAAATGCAGCGCACATTGGTGGGCACACATTTAACCCCTTGATCACCCCTAGATGTTAACCCCCTTCCCAGCTGGGGTCATTAGTACAGTGACAGTGTATAGTATCATCACTCATCACTGTATCGGTGTCACTGGTGATGTCAGTGTTAGTTAGCCAGCTCCCTCTCAGCGTCAGTTAGTGTCAGATTGCCCTCCGCACTATTGCAGTCCCATTACAAGCTGCTGATCCCCCCCATTACTAGTATAAAAAAAAAGTAAAGATTCCAGTAGATATCCCATCATTTGTAGACGATACAACTTTCATGCAAACCAATTAATACACACTTGTGGGGATTTTTATATATATATATATAAAAGACACATAGCAGAATTTTTGGCCAAAATTTATGGAGAAATTTGAATTATTTTATTGGATATGTTTCATAACAGAAAGTGAAAATATATTTTTTCCCAGCGGTGAGAAATACCACGAGAAAAAAAGCTCTATTTGTGTGAAAAAATTTTTATGTTTTATTTGGGTACAGCGATGCATGACCGCACAATTACCAGTTAAGTAGTGGAGTGCCATATAGCAAAAATGGCCTGGTCATGGAGGGGTAAAATCTTGGTTTATTTTTATTATTCAAATCAAACTCCTCCCTTCCATCCATGTCTCTATTCATGACTCCATCCATCCATCCCTGTCTCCATCCATCCATCCCTGTCTCCATCCATCCATCCATCCATCCATGTCTCTATTCATGTCTCCATCCTTCCTTCCTTCCTTCCATCCATGTCTCCTTCCTTCCATCCATGTCTCCATCCTTCCTTTCCATCCATCCATCCATCCATCCATCCTGTCATCCTGTCTCCATCCATCCATCCATCCATCCATGTCTCTATTCATGTCTCCATCCTTCCTTCCTTCCTTCCATCCATTTCCTCCTTCCATCCATGTCTCCTTCCTTCCATCCATCCATGGTCTTAATTTTCCTGAGAAATCACTTTGAACAACATCCATCCTAGCCTTCTCCATACCAGCATCCATCCATGAGTAAGGGCATGACGGTTCCATGTCCAGCATGTTTACTTCCTTCCAGTCCATGTCTGCCCTTCCTTCCATCCATGTCTCCCCTTGTTATCCATCCATCCAGCCGTGACACTGTCTTCCCTACGGCATGTCTCTATTCTCAGTCTCCACATTGATTTGTCTCGTACTTATTTCCATCCATTTTTTTTCTCAGAGAATAGGTGCATCCCTACACCCCATCCCCCATCCCCTATTCTGAGTCATCCCCTTGTCAACTCCCACATTTCTCCCATCCTCCAAGCATCATCCCTTGAGAAATCACTTTCCACCCCTAGCATTTCTACCCACCTCCAAGCATCATGTGAATTGTGGCGTAACTATTTCCAGGGCTTTTACTTGGTTCCACCCCCTACCCACCGACTAGCACCATTCCTTGGTTCCGTCCCCTACCCACCTCCGAGCATCATCCCTTGGTTCCACCCCCTACCCACTTCCAGAGCATCATCCAGAGAATAGGTGCAGGTACCACCCCCTACCCACTTTCTGAGCATCATCCCTTGGTTCAACCCCCTACCCACCTCCAAGCATCATCCCTTGGTTCCACCCCCTACCCACCTACAAGCACCATCCCTTGTCTCCACCCCCTACCCACCTCCAAGCACCATCCCTTGGTTCCACCCCCTACCCACCTCCAAGCACCATCCCTTGGTTCCACCCCCTACCCACCTCTAGCACCATCCTTGGTCTCCACCCCCTACCCACCTCCGAGCATCATCCCTTGGTTCCACCCCCTACCCACCTCTGAGCACCATCCCTTGTCTCCACCCCCTACCCACCTCCAAGCATCATCTCTTGGTTCCACCCCCTACCCACCTCCCAATCCTACGAGTTCCACCCCCTACCCACCTACTGTCACCATTCCTTGGTTCCATCCCTACCCACCTCCGAGCATCATCCCTTGGTTCCACCCCCTACCCACCTCTGAGCATCATCCCTTGGTCTCCACCCCCTACCCACCTCCAAGCATCATCCCTTGGTTCCACCCCCTACCAACCTACGAGCACCGTCCCTTGTCTCCACCCCCTACCCACCTCCGAGCATCATCCCTTGGTTCCACCCCCTACCCACCTCCAAGCATCATCCCTTGGTTCCACCCCCTACCTACCTATGAGCACCGTCCTTTGTCTCCACCCCGCACCCACCTTCCAGTACCACCCCTTTATGAGAATTCAGAACAACGTATCATTTGTTGCTGAGTAATTTGAATGGAATATTAAGAAAAGCAGTAAAATGGATCCCCTGCAGTTAGCAACAATAGCCCCCCTCCCTTCCAGTACCAATAAATCTACCACAGCAACAATAGACCCCCTAAAAACAATACAATTGAGACAATTGACTCCTCCCTCAATTGTAGACCCCTAGATCCACAATGTCAATAATAGATCCTCCACTATCAACAATAGACCCCTGACAGCCATCCCAGAAGCCTGCATCAATAGACTCATGGGAAATGTAGTTCCACAACAGCTAGAGAGCCGCAGCTTGCCTACCCCTGCCCTAGATCAACAATTGACCCCCTTTTCAACAATAGATCCTCAACCAGCAACAATAGAATTCCCAGAAGCCAGCATCAATAGACTCTCCAGCAGCCAGCAACAATAGACCCCTCCCTCAACAGTAGATCCCCTATATCAACAATTGACCCCCCCTTCAACAATAGACCTTCCCAGCAACAATAGATCCACCAGTGGCAATAAACCCCCAGCAGCCAGCAACAATAGACCCTCCAGCACACCCCAGCACCCCTCGCTATTACATACATTCAGTGCTGGAGGTGCCAGAACTGCGTTCCCCCCGCATTCCCGCTGAAACAAATCCCTGATTCTTTCCCTCTCCGAACTGTTGGCAGCAGACGCTCCCTCTGTGCTGTCCAAGGCACCGCCCGTCCGTCATCCTAAATTGTGCCAAAGAAACCGGAAGAAGGGGAATCATTGAGTGTAAACCAGCCGAATGATGGCGGCAACGAAGATTTGTGTTCGTGATTAAATCGATGTGGGAGCATTATCTTGTTTCTGAATAATAAAATGACAATGAACAGGATTTATCGGCATTTTTTTACCGGCGCGTTGTCCCGGGGAACAAGGGACGGCGCCGCACTGTGAGCCACTGTGCATACGTCTACGTGGCACAACTGGAGGTGCTGCCACTGTGCTGGAGGCGTGCAGATCGCTCCGTTTAGAAGAATGTTTAGTCTTCGAGATCTATTGTCGTCACTTACAACTCTACTTCCTCCTCTCCTCCTCCTCTTACTGTTGGGGTCCCCCAAGGTTCTGTTCTTGGACTTCTCCTACACCTCTTACTGTCGGGGTCCACCAAGGTTCTGTCCTTGGACTTCTCCTACACCTCTTACTGTCGGGGTCCACCAAGGTTCTGTCCTTGGACTTCTCCTACACCTCTTACTGTTGGGGTCCCCCAAGGTTCTGTCATTGGACCTCTACTTCTCCTCCTCTTACCATCGGGGTCCCCCAAGGTTCTGTCCTTGGACCTCTCCTCCTCCTTTTACCATCGGGATACCCCAAGGTTCTGTCCTTGGACCTCTCCTACTCCTATTACCATCGGGATACCCCAAGGTTCTATCCTTGGACCTCTCCTCCTCCTATTACCATCGGGGTCTCCCAAGGTTCTGTCCTTGGACCTCTCCTCCTCCTCTTACCATCGGGGTCCCCCAAGGATTTGTCCTTGGACCTCTCCTCCTCCTCTTACCATCGGGGTCCCCCAAGGTTCTGTCTTGGACCTCTCCTCCTCCTCTTACCATCGGGGTCCTCCATGGTTCTGTCCTTGCACCTCTCCTCCTCCTCTTACCATCGGGGTCCCCCATGTTTCTGTCCTTGGACCCTCTCCTCCTCCTCTTACTGTTGGGGTCACCCAAGGTTCTGTCCTTAGACCTCTCCTCCTCCTCTTACCATTGGGGTCCCCCAAGGTTCTATCCTTGGACCTCTCCTCCTCCTCTTACCATCGGGGTCCCTCAAGGTTCTCTCCTTGGACCTCTCCTCCTCCTCTTACCATCGGGTCCCCAAAGGTTCTGTCCTTGGACCTCTCCTCTTCCTCTTACCGTTGGGGTCCCCCAAGGTTCTGTCCTTGGACCTCTCCTCCTCCTCTTACCATTGGGGTCCCCCAAGGTTCTGTTCTTGGACCTCTCCTCCTCTTACTGTTGGGGTCCCCCAAGGTCCTGTCCTTGGACCTCTCCTATTCTCCATCTACACTTCTTCCTTGGGTCAGCTGACATCTTCCCATGGCTTCTAATACCATTTCTATGCTGATGACACACAAATCTATTTCTCTACTCCTCAGCTCCCCCCATCTGTTTCCTCCCGCATCACCGATTTACTAACAGACATATCAGACTGGATGTCACACCACTTCCTAAAACTCAATCTATCCAAAACTGAGCTCATAATTAGAGATGAGCGAAGTATTCAAAAATTCGATTCGGCTGATTCGGCGAATTCGCGGAATAAATTCGATTCGAGTCGAATATATTCGCTGCGAATTTAACTTATAAAAAGGGTGTTTCTAGGCTTCAGAGAGCCTTTATATTAGTGCAGAACACTGTACCTTTAATTTAAATGCCCTTGGAGTCTGCTGGGGAAGAGAAATAATACTGTCAGTCAGTATGACATGCAGATGAGTGCCGTCGATCTTAGAATCACCGCACACTTCACTCATTTGGGCAGTCACGGGGCCAAAACCAGAGTGTGGAGCCACAGTGTGGCGGTGGAGGCAGCAGCAATGGGAGGCCATACAGCACCCTATGACAAAATGGAACCCACCAGCAGTGTGAGGAGACCTGAAAGTGGCACATGGCAGAGTTTGGCGATGGAGACAGCAGCAATGGGAGGCAGTACAGGGACCCATGAGACACTCTGGACCTGGCAGCAGCATGAGGAGGGCGGTACGGGGGCCCATGGCAGATTACGGGCCTGGCAGCAGCAATGGGAGGCCCGTAATCTGCCAGCACCCTATGACAAAATGGAACCCACCAGCAGTGTGAGGAGACCTGAAAGTGGCACATGGCAGAGTGTGGCGATGGAGACAGCAGCAATGGGAGGCCGTACAGGGACCCATGAGACACTCTGGACCTGGCAGCAGCATGAGGAGGCGGTACAGGGGCCCATGGCAGATTACGGGCCTGGCAGCAGTATGAGGAGTCGGTACGGGGGCCCATGGCAGATTACGGGCCTGGGCAGTAGCAATGGGAGGCCCGTAATCTGCCAGCACCCTATGACAAAATGGAACCCACCAGCAGTGTGAGGAGACCTGAAAGTGGCACATGGCAGAGTGTGGCGATGGAGACAGCATCAATGGGAGGCCGTACAGGGACCCATGACACACTCTGGACCTGGCAGCAGCATGAGGAGGCGGTACAGGGGCCCATGACAGATTACGGACCTGGCAGCAGCATGAGGAGGCGGTACGGGGGCCCATGGCAGATTACGGGCCTGGCAGATGACGACGAGGCTGCCAAGTGCGATCAGCCTCATCATCATCAATTAGGGTCTCCACCTCACTACTAGCCCCCTCGGCTGCGTGTGGGTCAGGAGACAGACCTGTCTCTAGACCGGCTACTGAGCCACTCTTCTCGCCACTACTTCTTCGCCTGGCTGCTGAAGAGGCGGATGTCTCCCCCCGTTCCTGACCGCCCTCTGTTAGCTCTTCCTCACTGTACAGTGGGGCCGAGCCCACAGCATGCGATACTTCGCTTGGTGAGGGAACACCAAAGGACAGGGGCAGGTAGAGGACACGTGATTTCAGTGGGCTTGCTCCCGGGCCATGCCAACTAACGGTTGTGTCTGACGTACCCACCGACCGTTGGCTGTAGGTGTCAGAGGTGACCTGGGAAGAGGAAGACGACCGAGCCAACCAATCGATGACGGCAGGGTTGTCGGTGGAGACACGACCACTGGATGACACCGGGAGCACTGGGCCTCTGGCTGCGACTAGTGCTGCCTCGACTCCTTCCTCTGCTGCCACGTCTGCTCGCTCCTGAAACATTGCCTCCTCTGCCACTCCTCTGCATGTTGTCTGACATACTCTTTAATTCAACGATTCTGTGTCCCTGAGTAACAATTCTGTGTCCCTGAGTAACAATTCTGTGTCCCTCAGTAACAATTCTGTGTCCCTGAGTAACAATTCTGTGTCTGTCCCTGAGTAACAATTCTGTGTCCCTGAGTAACAATTCTGTGTCCCTCAGTAACAATTCTGTGTCCCTCAGTAACAATTCTGTGTCCCTCAGTAACAATTCTGTGTCCCTCAGTAACAATTCTGTGTCTGTCCCTGAGTAACAATTTTGTGTCCCTGAGTAACAATTCTGTGTCCCTCAGTAACAATTCTGTGTCCCTCAGTAACAATTCTGTGTCCCTGAGTAACAATTATGTGTCTCTGAGTAACAATTATGTGTCCCTGAGTAACAATTCTGTGTCCCTCAGTAACAATTCTGTGTCCCTCAGTAACAATTCTGTGTCTGTCCCTGAGTAACAATTCTGTGTCCCTCAGTAACAATTCTGTGTCCCTGAGTAACAATTCTGTGTCTGTCCCTGAGTAACAATTCTGTGTCCCTGAGTAACAATTCTGTGTCCCTCAGTAACAATTCTGTGTCCCTCAGTAACAATTCTGTGTCTGTCCCTCAGTAACAATTCTGTGTCCCTCAGTAACAATTCTGTGTCCCTGAGTAACAATTCTGTGTCCCTCAGTAACAATTCTGTGTCCCTCAGTAACAATTCTGTGTCCCTCAGTAACAATTATGTGTCTGTCCCTGAGTAACAATTCTGTGTCCCTGAGTAACAATTCTGTGTCCCTGAGTAACAATTCTGTGTCCCTCAGTAACAATTCTGTGTCCCTCAGTAACAATTCTGTGTCTGTCCCTCAGTAACAATTCTGTGTCCCTCAGTAACAATTCTGTGTCCCTCAGTAACAATTCTGTGTCTGTCCCTGAGTAACAATTCTGTGTCCCTGAGTAACAATTCTGTGTCCCTGAGTAACAATTCTGTGTCCCTCATAACAATTCTGTGTCCCTGATTAACAATTCTGTGTCCCTAAGTAACGATTCTGTGGCCCTAAAGTCTCTGAGGCCCTAACTCTGTCCCTAATACAGACAGGTCTGTCTCTCTTGAATGACTGGAGGCTAATGGAGAATTCTAAGATGGCCGCAATTTATAGCTCCACCATTACACAGTGCTGGCTGGCTGCTGATTGGCTAATGCGATCACATGTCATGAATGAATGCATTATGGGTCAGCGCGCCTTGTCTGCGCGCCTTCCCAGAGATCCCCGCTCCGTCGCCACACATGTCGCCGCCATTTTTGGGAAAATTAGATTCGTGCATCCGACGTTGGCTAATTTTCGGATTCGGCGCGAATCGAATATTTCCCAATATTCGAAACGAATTCCACTTCGCCGAGTTCGATTCGCTCATCTCTACTCATAATATTACCTCCCCCCACACGTGCCTCTTCCCCTGATTTCTCGATCAGGATCAATAGCACCATCAACCCATCCCTGTATGCCGGGGTGCGAGGGGTAACCCTGGACTCTGAACTATACTTTCCAATCCCTGTCCAAATCATGGCGCCTCAACCTCCGCAACGTCTCCAGAATACGTCCCTTTATAACCAATGACACCACAAAGCTCCTAATTCACTCCCTGGTCATCTGTCGCCTCGACTACTGCAACTCCTTCCTCATTGGATGACCTTTACATAGGCCACCCCCCTCTAGTCCATCATGAATACTGCTGCCAGGCTCATCCACCTTACCAACCGTTCAGTGTCCTCCACCCCTCTCTGCCAATCCCTCCACTGACCTACAGTCAGTGTCCTCCACCCCTCTCTGCCAATCCCTCCACTGACCTATAGTCAGTGTCCTCCACCCTTCTCTGCCAATCCCTCCACTGGTCTTCATTCAGTGACCTCCAACCCTCTCTGCCAATCTCTCCACTGGCCTCCAATCAGTGTCCTCCACCCCTCTCTGCCAATCCCTCCACTGGCCTCCAATCAGTGTCCTCCACCCCTCTCTGCCAATCCCTCCACTGGCCTCCATTCATTGTCCTCCACCCCTCTCTGCCAATCCCTCCACTGGCCTCCATTCAGTGTCCTCCACCCCCCTCTGTCATTCCCTTCATTGGCCTCCAATCAGTGTCTTCCACCCCTCTCTGCCAATCCATTCATTGGCCTCCAATCAGTGTCTTCCACCCCTCTCTGCCAATCCCTCCACTGGCCTCCATTCAGTGTCCTCCACCCCTCTCTGCCAATCCCTCCACTGGCCTCCAATCAGTGTCCTCCACCCCTCTCTGCCAATCCCTCCACTGGCCTCCATTCATTGTCCTCCACCCCTCTCTGCCAATCCCTCCACTGGCCTCCATTCAGTGTCCTCCACCCCCCTCTGTCATTCCCTTCATTGGCCTCCAATCAGTGTCTTCCACCCCTCTCTGCCAATCCCTTCATTGGCCTCCAATCAGTGTCTTCCACCCCTCTCTGCCAATCCCTCCACTGGCCTCCATTCAGTGTCCTCCACCCCTCTCTGCCAATCCCTCCACTGGCTGCCTCTCACCCAACAAATTGAATTCAACAACTTACAAAGCCATCCACAACTCTGCCCCCCAGCTACATCACCAACCTGGTCTCAAAACATCAACCAAACCACTCTCTTCGATCCTCCTAGGACCTTCTCCTCTCTAGTTCCTGTGCCACCTCCTCCCATGCTCACCTCCAGGACTTCTCCCAAGCTCCTCCCATCCTATGGAACTCCCTACCCCAGTCTGCCCGGTTGTCTCCTAATCTATCCACCTTTAGACGATCCCTGAAAACCTTTCTTTTTAAAGAAGTCTATCCTGCATCTACCTAGTAAACTGCCATTTATTTCTTCCATCAGCTCCTCCCCTTTTGTATCACTCAACCCTAAATTGTAAGCTCCTAGGGTCAGGGCCCTCTGTTTCCTCTTGTACCAAATTGTATTGTAACTGTTATGTCTGCCTTCATTTTGTACATCGCTGCGCATACTGTTGGCGCCATATAAATCCTGTATTATAATAATAGCCAGTTCAGCTCTCACAGCCGCACTCTCCTCATAGACAAACGTTCTGCTTCTGCCATGGGCCCTTTAAGGCTTTGTCACACTCTGTGCCTGGAACGGGGGCTTGTGATTGGCTAGATGTTGGCGCCAAGAGCACAGGTCCCTATCCCACTCCTCACTGCTAAAACAGTGACCCTCCTGCTGAGGTTGCACCCGCCACCATTTTGTGCCTATTCCTCCTCCTGACATTCTCAGCCATTAATCTTTATATCCCAGAAGAGAGGAATCCACACAAAAAGGTGGCTGAACTTCACTGGTGGTACTTGGAAGATGGCGCAAACCGTCACATCGACATACAAGGTGGTATCAAAAAGTTTCCAGACTAGTCCTGGGAGAGGTGTATTATGGAGGAGTTGACTGCAGAGATCCCATCTCAGGAGTACTAATAACCCTGGGTGGAGAAGGTGGGTTACTGAAAGTGTTGCATGATGCTTTCACAAATTACTGCTGTGGACCGTCCACTAAAGCCGATTGACTATGTACTATCAAATGACCCTGGGTGGTATCAAAAGGTTTCAATATTCATTTTGTAGCACGCCAACAGGTGGCAGCACAAGGCTACACGCACGCACAGTCACAGGGAGCACCGATCTTCATAAGTCAGTGTGCCCAAACCCATCATCCTATGTACATCGGAGCTGTGCAACTGATGCTATTCTGACCACGTGTGTTACCACGTCTGCTATTTCAGCAAGTTAGAACAAAGAGCCAATGTGAAATTGTGTCTGAAACTAGGCAAATCGCTGGACCTCTGCAATGTTGTCCAAACAGCGACCTTTTGAGCTGGAGCATCATCTTCAGGAAGAGGGCATTTTACGAGGTTGAGCTCCTTGAAGGTTTTCCTGATCTCTCATCATCTTCCAGTGATGTCCTTCCACTTTTGAAGAACGCATGCCGCTCCAAACGGCTCATCGCTGAACGCGTGCCACTCAAAGCGACTCATTGCAGCGTCACTGTGAACTTGCCGAATCGTGTCAAATGTTCCTGGGGCAGATTGGCCCGGTTTCAGGATGGAAGAGCAGACGTGGTACCGCACGTGGTCAGAATAGCACCAATTGCACCCCAAACGCACACGGTCCTGCACTAAGAAATGGCTCTGTGTATAGGCGGGTGCTGCAGAGACCATTGGCTGGAACCGACAAATCCAAGGAGAAATGGACCCAGCACACTGAGGGTCTCCAATGGGGTCCAAAGCTTTAATGAACCATCACAAAGTTACAACAAATAGCAATGTTTCAGAGCCTCGCAGGACCCCTTCATCAGGCATGTGACCACATGTGAGGCAGGCTGTGATTGGGAGGGGGCATGTTCAAAAGGCACACTGTGATTGGGAGGGGGGGTGTTCAACAGGTACCCTG